AGTCGAGAAATGGGGCGAGCGAGAAGAGAGGAAAACGTATGACGACGCCCCGCAAAATCGGAGATTACACGCGGCCGCAGTATATTCCCGATCGATTACCGGGAGCGGGTGTAAAATAAGATTCCTAACCCCCGTCGTCTTCGTCGTCGTCGGCGTCGAATTCCATATGGGGAGGAGGGGGACGAAATTTCCCGACTCCACTTAATTTTCCTGTCGGGAATTGGGCGGCCGATAAAGTCTAAAGGTGATTGGAATGCTGATTAGGAGGGCGCCGCGAGAAAAGACACGAAAAGATCTCTCTTTTTTTTTTCTCGCTCTCTCTTTCGCCGCCCCCGCTCAGCGACGGGTTGCCAAGTTATTTATTACCGAGTTCGACTTAGTTAGACCGACCTCACCCCCGCCGAGTCTTTTTACTTATTTTAGTAGGATAGGGGGAGTCGGGATGGAGACGCATCACAATTAGGGCCTCGATTTGGATATGTTTTTTTAGTTGTAATTTGAATGCTCAAAACCGAGGTTGCAAAAAGCATTTTGGTATAAATTTCTTTGTTAATAATAGTGCTTAGCCTCATATCTATGCTCGGTAAATTGTTTTTTTTAATTAACGTCTTTATTACACTTACTAAATCAAATGCGCAATTAATATCAAATGTATCGTTGTAGCAAAATCATAAACAAACGAAAATCGGGCGATAAACATGGATTAACATGGACGACTCACACTATGAAGCAGACGTTTAATTTGTGCTTGATCGATATAAGTCCATATTTCCCCGAGAATGTTTTCTACATCATCCACGGAGGCAGCTGGGAGTTGTTGGTTTCTAAGCCATTTGATCCAAGAAATGCTTAATTGGTTTCTGGATTGCATGGAGGTCATTCCAAGGTCTCATATTCACCTCATTTAAATTATTTTGTACTATTTTTGCTGTATGTAACCTATTGTTGTAATCTGGCATTTAATAACTGAGATAAAGACATTAATAGAAAAGATGTTGAGAAAAGACACTTAATACTGTTGAAGGAAATTCTCACACAAGCTCCCACATATTGAACATAAAAATTCTGAACATACTCTACACATCCCTAAATTTAAAAAAGATGTTCTTCAAATCGAGTCAACAATTCGCGGGAAAATTAAATTTGAAGTTGACTCAATTTTGAGTGGTTAATTTTGATGCAAAGTTTATAGTCGAAGGCTTTAAAATATTATATAAATCTTCTCCACTATCCGTAAATCTATTGTCATATTTGATTTATATTTTATGTTGCCATGCCATTTTTATGTTGTATGTCAATAAAAGGATTGATAAATATAAAACTTGGAAATATTAAGCAAGGGTCTTGAATTATCAAACCTAGAACGAACTTCCCTTCAATTTTATTTCTTTGATTTTCATTCAGCGAAAATTTGATTCAATATGAAGAGACAAATGTCCATTTCCTAGTTTTCAGAAAAATATTACACATATTAGAAATATAGATACTTATTTGATGTATTTATTATTCACAACAAGATTGAAGATTAAGGGTATTGAGCACAAAAGGCAATTGCGGTTGTGCCGGTATAATTAATGCGTTTTTATTACTCTCTTACCTTTCTAGGACTATACCTGAGACATATGGTTAATTCTCGGAGCGGCATGTACCGTGCGTTCATTTTATCTTGATAAAATTTTAATTGGCTGTAACTTTTTTGTTTTTAAGGCATCAAGGTAAACAAAAACACAAATTGTAGGGTTAGTAGCCAAGTTCTTATTCCAATTTCCAAGTTTTTTTAATGGAACACCCTGTATATTATATGTGTGTTTAACAAAATATAATGTAACATACTTTATATTTTGGTCAACTCGCTTTTGACAAATCTGCAAAAATAGGAATTTTTTGTATAATTTCAAGGAGTGCCCTGACTGACAAATAAAAATATGTTTATGCTTGAAATATTAGTAAACAACGTTGATGATTGAATTATTGTTAAAATGGTTTTTCGCGAAATTAGTGGAAGGAGTGGAAGGGGTGATATGCTTCAAGTATACTTTCGGAATAATAAAAGTGCAATCGCAGCTATCCAGAGAGCCGAGCTCCTTCAAAACATGTATTTCCGAGGCTGGCAAAGAAATTTGCAGAAAAGGGTGATGATTCATATGCTGAAAAGGTATGCTGGAATCATAATGTTTTAAATGAAGAAAATGAGACAAACATATTAGGATTCTATGAAGCACATCCCGTTTTCTCTATTACTAGAATACATTAAGAGGTATTTCTCGGGGATGAATCCACTCAGTTTTGAAAGAATATAAATATAATAGATTTAAATTTCGTAAAACTCAAAAACTAAGTGCACAATAATGTCAAAGGAGGATGCAGTTTTGCTTCGATTTATTAAATAGACATAATGACAAAAATATATTTTTTTAAATACAAAATACGCTATATTGGTCTTATAATCCTAGACAAATACACACAAAACCCAGGGATACCAATCGATTAATGATATTTATAGATCAAAAGTTAACTGGAGATCATTATTTGCAACTCTTAGAGCACCAAATAGAACAATATTAGCGCTGATTATATGGCAGCAAGACGGTGTCCATCCTCACAATGTTGTTCAAAATTTTCTTAAGATGGAATATCCCAGGGGTTGGATAGGGAACGGCGGAACTATGGATTTGACAGCCAACAGCACCGACTTAAATTTAATGGATTTTTTCATTTGAGGACACATAAAAAATCACGTGTAATAATGTCGTGGAAATTCGGCAGAGGACAATCCGGAAACGAGAGTGCATGAGAAATGTGTTCCGGAAAATGGGGGTCGGAGGTCATATACAGCAGTATTTAGAATAGTTAAAGATATTTTTACTTTAGTGCGTCTCGTAATTTTTAGTGTTTTTGTTCTACTTTACTACTACTGTTGTTGCAGTCAAATTTACTATTTTTGCCGATTTGTCAAAAACGAGTGGACTAAAATATAAAGTGTGTTACAACATGGTAATCGTAATGATATATTCTATTAAACACATTGATACCTTGATAACTTTATAAACGAAAAAGTTATAGCCAATTAAAATGTCAGATTTGTTACGTGGTTCGCCCACGATACGGACCTGCTCTCGATTTGAGCGCAGGGGGTGAATAAAAAGTATATTAATATTTTATGGCTTCCCGTAAGTTTATCGCAAAAGACTTATAAAGTAGGGGGCGTCGCGTCGGCGGCACGACGCTAAAGAACAGCATTAGCCGCTTTTACGTTTCTGCTTTATAACCCCCCCCCCCCCCCCCCAAAATTGTCCCCCGCTATGCCCCACGGTGCGGGCTTTGCGTTTAAAATATTTCGTGTTTTCGCTTTATTCTTGGAAACTCCGCGAGCGGCCCACGAGACACCAAAGGGGGAAATCTGGGTGGACGGGGAAGGGAAACGAATAGATTAAAAACCGGGTTTCCGCGAAACGAATAACTCACTTTGTCGCTTGTGTTTTTCTTTTTGAAGCTTTTCGCCGTAATTTCGTTCCGATTCGTCACGTGATTGGGGGGCCCGACGCGTTTCTTTACGCGCTTCGGCGAATGTTCGAAGCGGGACAATATACATATAGCAAAATCGAGAAAAATTGCATTTAACACGAACAATGCGATAGATATACGGGGTGTTTCCAAAAACGCTTTGGTAAAAAGGGGCCCAAAAATTTAGAACGTAAATACCTTTGAGTGGGTCAAAAAAGATAGTAACGTTTCATAAGTGAGAACTAATAGTAATTTTCAAACACAACAATAAAGTAAACATATTGTTAAATTTTGTCAGCAATAAATTTTATGACCCAGAAGTATTTACGGATTAAATTTAATTTTTATGCCCGTCTTGTACACTAGAAATTGGAGCGATTTTTTGAAACACATTAGATAGGCGATTGATTTAAAATTTATGACAAATAATAAATTAAAAATAGAAGATGGTACTATAATGGTACCCAACTTGGTACACATATGACGCAAATCGAAAAAAGTCGATTTTTTTAAATTTTATTCCTTATTATTTAATTAATATTAAAATCTTCGTTCTTCTCTACTTTTCCACACATTTCCTAATGTAATTGAGAAACAATACTTATTATTATATTCCAAATGACCCGTAAAATGATGGTTACACCAAAAAACAAATTTCAAACGCAACGTGTAAGACAACGTAAAAATAATCTATATCTAAATCTAATCTAATCTAATCTAATCTGCGTTGCCGGTTTTTTAGTATTTCTACTTATTCCTAGGCCTAGACTAGGGAACTGATCTATATTTTATAATCTAAAGACTAGTGAAAATGAGTGAAAGAAATATCTAGGTGTGCGTACCTGAACATTTTGCGAAATCTTGAGAAGAAAAGTATATTCATATAGACTTCTTAAATTATTCTTATATCCTTATTATTCTATTATTACTGTAAAAGTATTTTAGTACAACTTCAAAGCGCCAAGAACGAGAAACAAATTTCAAATTTTCCGTTTCACGGTAATGACTCACTTATCCACGTTATTGACATAAAATAAATTTGAGTTCTAAAATTAAGATCAAAACCTCTTTGCACTATTTCATCAACTCCATGTTTGTAAACAGTACTCATATGATGTGCTTTCCACATAATTCACTAGACGTTTCATAAATCTCAAGATAGATGCTGCTCGAGTCAATCAAATTCAAAAATTCGTTATATATATATTTTAGTTTGATCATAGAAATAAGAAATAATAAAAAACTTTTGTTTAGGACTCTTGTTATACCTTGTTATATACCTTGTTTATTTATACTACATGGTTTAGTTTTTTGTTTATTTGTTAAAATATAAATGTTTGATTTATTTTTATATTTTATTAGTTCCTATTTTATTGTTGAGACCAATACGTAATTCCTAAAAATACATGTACTTTTTATTATTATATTTTCTTTCTTATATAACAGGATTATATATTTACATATTTTATTTGTTATAAAAGCAAATTTGCTATTTGGTTCCTCTCCTCATTTCCACCCTCATCTGCAATATCTACTTCCAGGTGTGGTAGCTCTTCTTCTAGCACCTCTTTTAAACATATCAAATGTCTCGCTGCTCCGAAACGTCCTAGATGTTGTGGTAACTTCTAAAATAGATCTCTTATAATAAGTTTACAAATATAAGCCTCGAAAATATTCTAATAAAAAGTTCCCTTCATAACTCCTTACAGTTTTCGTAATGCTTGCCATTTTTTGATATTGGACAGACCTAGCACCTTCATTATCCTCAAATATTCGAACTGGTTCTGCTAATTCTAAAGCCATTTGACCAAATTATCCTCCGTCATTTCGTTTTGAATTAAAATGTCCATAACGTCCGTTTCTACTAATTTCTGCTGTAGTAGGTACTAGAATACAACGACGTTTCCATTTTATTAACACATGTTAAATCGGCAGCACTACACAAAAGAAATACTGAAGAATATACCTTCGAAACAGCCGAAAAAAAAGACACCATAACCTCTACATATGTCAAAAACGGAAACGGCAAATCACTTGACACGTTTACGATCGCAATCGCTACCGCTACGTATCGGGAGCGCTTTGCTACGTACCATTTTTTAATATTTACCGAAGTTATGAAAATCGAACCAGCAACGCCGTTTAGGCTACTTCAATTTTGCCCAGGTTCACGTGTCCGAATCGTATCCTACTTATTAAAACGATCACGAGCGCCGACCCGAAATTCAGTTCAATTAGGAAACCCGTCATCATTATAAATGCTAAACGAAACAATTAGTAGCATTAGCGGGCGGGCGTGTAATAACGCAAGGGGTGGCGCGCGGGGAACAGGGCGGTGGGGGGGTTCGAAATTACGGTCGCGCAAACCATAATGTGTCGATACATGCAAAATAGCGTCCGACCAATGCCGAAACACAGTTTGCGGCATCGCGGAAACTAACACGGGAGCAAATTAAATTTACACTTCGCAGCGGTAATTAACAGGGGCTATCGCGCGCGCATGCACGATACCAACTTTGCAAACATGATTCGGATCCGTGATTTAGGCATACAAGTTACGGATCAGCTAACGTTTCTGTTGTAAAAGCGGTTTAATTAACATGACACCAAAAATAATAACCTTTTTTGCTATTAACTACCATCGAAGTAACCTAGGCCAGAACTAGTCAATTACTAGCCTTCAAAGTGGGTGTAATTTCCATAGTCATTTCCCAGACATTGATTTTTTTTTGGATATGACATGAACGTTTTAAATTCGGGTAAAAATAGTATATTACGCAACAATTACGGTAAACGGCACTTGACTCACGAGTTTATTTGACACGAGCGGAGCGAGTTTGTAATAAACGAGTGAGTTAACGTGTTGCATACTATACTTTTTCTAAGACCGTTAGTTTTTGGGTACATTTTCGCAAAACAACACGAATACATTCACTGACATGACCGTCAGAATTGACAAACGTCAAATTTCAAAGCATGGGAAATATCTCCGAAAACATCCGATTGCTCCCAAATCCGTGCGGTAAAATCTCGGAAATGTCCGAAATGGCTCGGATTCGTGGGAAACGAAATTGATGTGGTAAAGTGACGCTTCCCGGACGCTAGATCGGTCGTAGAAAAAGTATAGTATGCAACATGTTTGGTAAACAATTTAAGTCACTCGCTTATTAAACACTCGCTCCGCTCGTATCAAATAAACTCGTTAGTCAAATACTGTTTACCGCACTTGTTGCATAATATACTATTTTTTACTTCTGTAAAATCTAACGTGCGGCAAGCGTCACTTTACCACGTGAGTTTCTTGTACCACGGATCCGAACCACTTCGGACATTTTCGGGATATTACCCCACGGGTTGGAGTGCAACAGGATGTTTTCAGAGAAATTTCGCACGCTTTGAATTTTGACGTTTGTCAATTCTGACAGTCATGTCATGTTGTTTTGCGAAAATGTACCCAAAAACTAACGGTCGTAGAAAAAGTATAGTATGCAACACGTTTGTTAAACTTTTTAACTCACTTGTTTATTATTATTTATTAAACACTCGCTCCGCTGCGCTCCGCTGGTGCCAAATAAATTCGTGAATCAAATGCCGTTTACCGCACTTGTTGCATAATATACTACTTGTGCTATTAACTACCACCGAACTAACCTAGGCCAGAACTAGTCAATTACTAGCCTACAAAGTGGGTGTAATTTCCATAGTCATTTCCTCTCTCCATTCTCATTCTCCATTCTCATTTCCACTAGTGAGTAAAATACCATTTACCGCACTTTTTGCATAATATACCATTTTCTACTTCTGTAAAATCTAACGTGCGACAAGCGGCACTTTACCACGTGAGTTTCTTGTACCACGGCTTGAATTTTGACGTTTGTCAGTGAAAGCATTCGTTTTTTTTTTGCAAAAATGTAATCAAAAACTAACGGTCGTAGAAAAAGTATAGTATGCAACACGTTTGGCTAGTTTTGGTTAGTTTATAATATACTATTAGAATAGAAATTAAAAAATGTACTTACCAAATCTCAATTTCTTAGAGTTTTATACGTGTTGAGTTAGTTGGTGGTCCTCTTTTGTTGATCAACGATAGTTTGAGTTTACTTTCTTTTTATTATTATTTATTTATTTTTATTATTTTATTATTTTTATTATTATTTATTATTTGTTTACTTTCTTAAGCTTAATTTTGGTTACAGAGGTGTTGGTTTTTTGGTACTCTGTACTGTATGAAGTTATAAGTTATAAAAAAGCTTGGGTTCCTAACTTAACCCATTCTTCTCATCTTATCTAACCGTATAAGTTAGATAAGCAAACAAGCTTATGAAAAGAACAGTTATTTGAACACAAACGATTAAAAAATATTCTATATAAGTGATAAGACCATCTTACAATTCTCCTTATTAAATTTAAAGCTACTGAGACCTTTTAAGCTTATAGACCTGATAACCAAATGGTTTTTCACATTGCTCCGTGGAAAGGTGGTGATAATTGTTGTGCATGTTTTAAATCCAGATTATGAGCATCATGTCAAACTTTTATGTTTTAATATTAAGAGCTGGAAGTGTTAAGCTGGAAAAATTATTCTTCTCTTTCTTTTATTTTCGTAGTTACGCCCTATCCTATTTCTTTGTCGTGCCAATTACCGGATATGGTGCCTGTAGATGCGCACCAACAACAACTAAACTATGAACTATAAATATCATAACTAAGAAATTCCGGCACTGTTGCAGCTTGTTATAGTGTCAATTGTCACTAAAACATTTCCTTCCCTGTTCCTTCTTTAATATTGCATTCCTTTTTATTAAATCTACAGCTGACTTCTGAAACAGCGCCGTCTTAATTGCAATCAGGATATTAGTAAAGCGCCTGCGCAAATCAGGCTACTCTTAGTTTTTAATTGAATCTTGTAAACTAATCCGTCGTTTTCACTACGAAAATAATAAAACAAAATCCAAAACTACAGAAGTGAATTTGTTACACCACTTTCTAATTTAAGAACCGTTACAATTTTGAAAATTATGAAATCTTTTTTAATCACTTTTTTCTTGATTACTTCTCAAACAGTTGCACTGGAACTAAATTTAATTCAATGCTTCAAAAGGTAAAATGTGACCTATGGTGATTTAGTTTATCTAGTCCACTTAACCGTAATAACTACTTCAGTTGCAAAATATCTACGTTACTTTTTCGACGTCAAACCAGTGCTAATTTTAACCCCGAAGAAAAAATATTTATAACTTGATGTACTCCTTAAATTAAAAGCGACAGCTGCTGCGAGAAGGGGTAGAAAGAAGGGGCGGAGCGATTTTTTAAAACTTTTCAACGAATTAAAAAAAAAGAGCCTTTGAAATGTGTTTGAATTTCGATGTTATTAGTTCAGTATTTCGACACTCTCTCGTAACGGGAACGGTCGAACAATAAACTATTAAAAACGTGTATACGCTAAAACGTCGAAAAACTAGGCCATCACTTCTAGGAAAATTACACGTTTCTCAGTTTCTTGTTAAGGCAATCTCGCGTAATGGTTTGTTTTAACACATCAGCGACTTGTTTAATATTTATGCGCGCGGTAATGCAATAGAACTACGCGTATACTATATTTGCTTAACAAATTGCCGAGATGTCTGCGTGTTTGTTTAAGGCAAACTTGTGTACGGCTAAAAGAAAAAACGAGGGAGCAAATAGAAAACGTATTTCGCGTCGTTCGACGCCTCGTTTATTTGCACTCATCGTTTTAATATGTACTTATTTGTATTTGTTTTAAAACAGTCATAACCTATATTATGCGTGCGTGTGTCTCTTAAAAAAAACGATCGATAAACATTTGCCTAACGACTGGTGGCATTTAAGACGTAAATCCTTCTCCCTCCTACATGAATTATTGCTGGCCTGGTCCGTGTGCATAATGAAAATCGCTTGGAGCACACACCATGTACCGTGTCCCACTAAGAATGGCTCTCGGTCGTATCTCGGGAAAAATTAGCAGTACGGCCTGCTGAAATTTCTTCCAAGTTTCTAGAACGACCGCGAGAAGGCGCAACTATGGCGAAATAACAATAGGATTTTAACAACATTCTGTCGAGTACCACCATATTGTTGAATGCAATTTTTTTGAAAAAATCACAGCGTCTAGCTAGTTGGTTTGATTCCGACAACCTATTATTTCATTATTTATTATTCTTATGCATGTTGCGACGTGTAGCGTGGGACACATGGTGATTCCAGATAAGTGTGCTATATGATCTGGAGACCTTTATTATTATTATTACATCAACTTTTTTGGCGAATGAGAAAGTAGGATTTTTACAAAACGTTAGACAGGAACATTTCAAAGACGCACAATGTTTGTCAGGTTAAAAGACCGCGTGTACTACTCACACCATGGAACGCCCTTTCAAAGGATACCTAACTACCTTGATTTCAAAAAACTAATCCCAAATTACATAAAAATTTAAATCAAAACGAATCTATTATTTACGTATTCTTATTTATTCTTCCCATTCAAACTTGAAAAAAAAGATCAACAATTTCTCATAAGCACTTGCCTACTAAAGAGTGATGTGCTAGTTAGTCTAGAGTTTAGAGAATTACTCTAGTATCTAATTAAAAACTAACCGTGGGTATATAAAATTGTTGCATGTAATCATTTACTTTATCAACGAAAAATCCGAGAATCTATAGAAATCTATAAGCAACGAAACAATCTTAACCGCGACTCAGGGCTTTACCTTTCATCAATATAGGATTCAGTCATGTGAGACATAAATATATAACCAGCTATAGAGTAAAATGCGAGTTTTAGTTAAGCCCTGAAGAAGCCAACAGGATGATTGACGTCAGCAAGTTCGATTCAGCAAAAACCGACGCAGGAGGAATCCGGAAGGACTGTAAATAGGAATACGTAATTTCTTTAACGATTTGAATAAAACACAAAACAAAGGGGGTTTAAAAAATTACTTGATTATAGCTATTTTGACATATATATATATATATAGAACGCCTTCTCTCTCTTCTGAGCAAAGGTGTAAAAGGAAATGGAAGCAATAATTGCGTCCTAAGTGAGTTATTTGATTTTAGCTTATCTAAATTTCGAACAAGTTCCCTTTTTAATTTATTTCAAACTTTTATTAGAAAATTCAACAGGGGTCACCCTATATATAAACGCGAATTTTAAACAACGTTATCTGGGAAATCTAAACTATAAACGCCTCTCTAAATAATTTGATAAT